TTTTTACCTTTATAATTTCTTAAATAAATTAAATGAAAAAGATAATTATCCTTTTAAAAGAAATCTATATATAATAATAATTCGAAATTTGTACAAGAAATTTGATAGGAATAAAACTACTATTTTTTTGTATATCTAATTATGGATCGTTTTTTTCTATTCACAAATCCCTCTTCACCCGATTCAAAACTCAAACTTGAGATTTCTAACTTGAATTCTAAGTTTTTAACAGTTGAGTTACAATATTGAAATTAATAAAACTGCTATTTGATTTTAGTTATTATTATTTTGAGTTTAATTTGGTTTTTTTTTATAGACATAGAAATCAAATATGACATGGAATAAAATTTGATTTGACTGATCAAGCTCTCTATTTAGTCTAGCTCCAGCCATGGATGTCATTTCTTTTTCCTCTACCTGCCTGCCATTGCAATTTATGGTTTATAATTAAGTCATATGTTCTGCTGGTTCATCCAAATTTTCAAATGGGGTCTTTTGCCTTCGGATAAAATCTAAATTGAATACGATTGTATTGTAAGGGGAAGGATTGTGATGGAGTTGGCAGTGGTTTTGTGCGGAAGGATTTTAGGAAAATGAATGGTTAAGGGCATATTTACACTTTTTTATTTTTATAATTAATTTGCTAATTTTTAACTTAATATTTTATTAAAAAAGTGTTTTACATTACATGCATTAAAAATGTATTTTACCATATCAATTTATTAAAAGATTCTTAATAAAATTAATTTTTATATTATTTTTTATAAATATTTTAATAAATTTATAAAATAAATTATATTTTTTATATATAATTTAAATTATAAAATATCGGTATTTTATTTATATAGAATTAATTAAAATGCCGGTAATACCAAAAAGACAAAAAAGAAAAAAAGAGGTCTTGATATGGCAATTTTATGCTGATAAGACCCTCTCGGGTTTGGGTTAACTGAATAGTTAAAACTTTATTTGGCCTTTCTACTTTAACAAAATTTTTTTAAACTCTGATCTTTAAGTTTCCTCCAAATGATCTTTTAGTCCTCATATTGTTCCAGCGTACAATTTAATCCCTGTAAAACAAAATCCCCAGCTTAAATGTTTGTCAAAACGCCATTAATTCAGTTTGACCTCAATATTTCTTTCCCACATTTTTTGTATTTATTAATTTCCACATCACATTAATACTTAAACATATTGAAAATTTTCATTTAATGATTAAAGAATTTATAAGAAATTTATATTTAAAAAAAAAAAATCAAAATTTCCCTCTTTTTTTGTTTAAAAAATATTAAAACAGACTAGACAAAAAATTAAGTTATGACAATAATAAACATTAATTTACCAAAAAAATATAATAAATAATATTGAACATTGGGATTCCTAAGAAATGTAGAGTATGAACTATGAAACAGATATTTCAACTCCTGCCTCATTAGGGGGGCTTGGGGTTTGACAACTATAGGGTATACAAAGACTATTCACACAAAATGGCAGAAAAATAGAATTAACACTATCAACTAACTGGAAATGGTGACCCTCTTTCCCACATGTACACCCCATCACTAGGGCCCCCCTTTCATAACCACCTGAAATTTATACATCAAAAGCCATCGTGTTGTATCTTTTGTACCACCATCATTTGCAGGTCAACAGTACTGAGTTGATGACGTGCATCAGAAGGCGAATACTGGAATGTTCAGCTCCAGTAATCATTGGTGAGCTGTGTAGGTGATGCAGTATCTTATAGACTTGATCGAAGATAGGGTGCACATGCATTGCAATCATCTGGTCTGCTGGGTTTATTGCAGCAGCCACTTCTGTCATCCACCCAAGTTTTTGTGATGTCTCCTTGTTGACATCACAAGCCAACTGCTGCAGAAGGGAAATCAGTACTCCTTGGCTCAACGGAAGAGGAACTATTGTTAAAATTGCACGTAGATCAACCTGCAGAACAAGGAGCAAGGCAGTTGATAACCCATCCTCAACTTTTGGCCCAAGTTTACAATCAGAGAAGCATGCTTTAGACTTTATATGAGATTGGAAGGGTAGCAGGATGAAAATCAATTTGCTTGTGTGCTCAACATCTAGAATATACCTGTGAACATAACCAGGATACAATAGAGAGATCGCTTCTTTGTAGGGCAATAGTGAAAGCTTCCTCATATTTGCGTTCAGATGCCAATCTTGAAAGCTCTTTTGTTGGATCCAGAGGCACCTCAACCTAAAGCATAGATACAAAGTCCTAAAAGATTAGAACAGCCAAACTGAAATTTTCTAAAGAAGATGGTAATTTTATGAAGCTATTATATCTTTTTTGGCAGTCGAGATTCACAGCCTCCCCATATCCCAAAAAAACCCAGAATCAAAAGAATGGCAAGGCAGACCTTTTCATGGAGACCACTCAAGGGTCCGTTGCTGATTTGGGAAACCATGGGACTGACTGCATTTGAGCTTGCTCCAGCTGCTACAAGAGCCAAGAGATTCCGTTGAGCATCAGCCAATTCTCCACTTAAAGTTTGAGTAATTGATGATGCAGAATTTATGGAATCCTGCAATTAACGTCAAATTCAATAGCAAGAAACTGACGTCAAAAAAAAAAAGAAAAAAAAAAGAAGAAGAAGAAAACAAAACAAACAAACAAACAAACAAACTGAAACATATACATTGAAAACTTATGCCAAATTTTGAAGTTCACATTAGAAAGCACTCTGACATAGCAAAAAAATATAAACAAATTCAAATATTGTTAAGGTAACCGAGTCCATATCATCTCAGAAAACAGAACATTTAACAGTTAAAGCAGAGAATGGAGTCTAGTTTTGGAATATGAACAAAATTGTTCAAAACTCAAGGACTTGGTTTTAGAAAGTAAAGTAGAAAAATACCAAACAAATGGATTAACCATCTTTTAGAATCACACTGCCAGTTTATAACATTCCTTCCCAGGTTTAAATTTGCAAAAGGAGGACAATTTTCAATAAACAAATGGTGGTGTCTTGCTCAGCCTATTTAGTCAAGTCAATATTTGAATTTGAATTTCTATTAAAATAGGTAAAATATTGTTGGGAGGAGGACGAACTAGGAAGAAATAGCAAGGCATGAGAAACTGACCCTTAAAACATGTGCCAATGATGAATGTGCAGACTCGAGGTGTTGCTGGGCTGCATTTGTATGTTCTATCATGCCTTTCTGGAATGCAGTGTCCACTTGCTCAAACATTGCTTTACATGACATCTCAAAGGCAGGGATCACTGAAACTTCAATACCAGACTTCAAAGCATCCTAGGAAATAAAATTGAGTGAGAAATCAATTCTATCCATTTCACATGACACAATTCAATTGAAGAGAATGTAAATGCCAATGATGAAGTTCCGTGTACCTGGAGAGCTTGCCTGCCAGAAGTTTGGAATTGTGCTTGAATTTGTCTGGCAACTGTAGCTTCAAGCTTTGAATTAACTGATTTTTCTAGCTGATTCACTACCTTATCTCCGACTGCTTTCTGCAGGAAAAGGATTGATTAGATTCACTACTCCACAAAGGAGATAGATCTTTAGAATTCTAACCTGGAAGAACTCAGCAATGGATGAAGCTATTGTTTTCTCTATAGCAGGAGTAAGTGCACGAGTTACAGCTTGTCCAACAGCAGCTAGTTCCTTCTTTACCACTTTCTCTAACATGACCGCCAGGTCCTTGTTTACAAAGTTATTGATCAAATTGGATATTTGCTGTGCACGGTCTCGTGATAACTTCTCATTCTTTGCATTATCTTCCTGGAAACGAGCCCATAGTGCATCAGCATTGGCCTTGATAGCTTTCTCAAAGCTACGCCCTAGAGACACCTCTAATCTTCGTCCTTCTTTTGTAACAGGAAGGTTAACTATATTCGACATTTGTTTTTGCATATCCTTTTGCATGGTCATTAGCTGCAAGAATAATGGAAATCAAAGTCAAGATACCATAGAAGGTGCAATTTAATAAGTAGGACTAATATTCATCCACATAAAGTATATTAATAAATTGCTGCCCAGTAAAAGGTAAATAAAAATAGAAATAAGGACAGATAGGTGTTCAGTCACACAAACAATAGACACATTTTTTACATCAACAGTACAAAGATAAAACCACTGCAAAACAAAAGAAGAAAGAAAGATACTTCTTAATAATAAAAGCTAATTGACCCATCGATGAAATGCCCAAAAATTAGCAAGGACTTTACTTTTCATCATACTCAGGAATTAAAGTATTCTTTTATTTCAATCTTGAGTGAAATGAACCATGCAAAATGTGCCAGACAATAGAAATTGTAAAGAGGGGTATCGATACTCTAGATTATCAATCACCTGATTAAGCATCCCCTGCATAACCAAAATCTGAGGAAATGCAGAATCAGTGGAAGGCAGATTCGAACTCTTCCCTGGTTCAATGGAAGAATCCACTTCTGCTGAGTTAAAAACACCTGAGGATGGTGAAGATTGACCAGCTGCATGAGATATCTTCCCCTTCTGCTTTTTCCCTTTTGTACTTGGTGCTGGTGATTGTTTTCCAGTCACATCTTTTCTGGTATCATGGGTTTCTTCCTCTACAACAAGAGGTTGAGCAAGTGGTTCTGATGCACCAGCACCTATTTGCCTGGATTTCTCCATGATATATGAGTCCCCTGATAATCCACAGGACTCTCTGGCCATCTGAATGCCAAGGCCTGATGCCTGAGAGCAAAAGAGTCTTTCTCTATTTTCGGTCCTGAGGTTTTGAGATTCTCCCTTGGAACCAAATTCATCATTTTGAGATCTTGCCTCACCCACTACTTTTAACTCCACCTCAGCATTGATCACATCACTTTTGTCAACCAAGTCATGTATGTTTGATTCTCCCTCAGTTTTACTATTAGCTTCAGACGATGAAGCAGCCATCAATATCTCTGAAGGAGTCACTAGATGTGTTGGATGCTTAAAAATAATTGGAGGATTATGTGGACTAGGCATATCATCTGATGCTTTTTTCTTCTCATTGATCCTTGAACCAACATCTGGAAAAGACACAGCACACAAATTTGCTTGAATGGTGTCCATTTGCCGGTCAACTGAATAATCAGTGACTGGCTGGTTTACAACATGCTCACTGAACTGTGAAGCTGGCTCAAAGCTATTTCTTGGACTATGAAAACCAGAGAGTTTCATAGAAAAACTGGGACTAGGAGGAAGAGGTGGTGGTGCAACAGAAGCAATATCAGCATCACTTGTTGCTGATGCCAAAGAAGCAGGTTTTGAAACAATATTCAAAGTATTAAATTCCTGTGCACCAGTTGACTCAGTAGAAGCAGAGGGCAGCGGACACCTAACTACTGTTGAATTTTCAGAGCTAGCTACTTGTGTACATGGTTTGGGAACTCTATCAGGTTGGAGCAATTCAGAAGATCCACTTCCAGACAGGTTAAAAGCAGTATGGCCTTCAGAGATAGTTACATCATGTGAAAGACTGGAATTTGACTTCTCCAAACCCACATTCTCCAGTGGTGGTGGAATGCACTGGCATAACTCTAAATCGTATTGCTGAATAGCCTGTATCTGAACACAATAAACCTTGACAATGTGTTCATCAGGAGGGTCACTTGTCCCAGTAAAACTCAAAATAGGCATGGTAACTGTAAATTCTGATATATAATCCATATGTGTTGCTGCTGGACAGGAACCGTACTCCAAGTGTACAGCATATATAGCATTCTTCTTAGCATTTGCAAGTAAGACAAGGCCTGCTTGAGACAATGCTAAAGCTTGGTTAAAAAATGCCTCCTCAACTCGAGATTCAGCAGAACTCTCCAAGACCAATGTCTGGGTGCAGGTCCAAGAATCGGCATTACTTGGAAGTAGCCAACCTTCTTCACTTCCTGAGGCCCAAATTTTGACTTCACGATTTAGTGGTCCCTGTAAAAATGGTAACAAAATTTTACTTAAAAACACTACGATTCTTGATTTCCATAAAATGAAAAGCCAACTACCTCAACAAGGAAGTCAAAAATAAAAATCAAAAACTAACCACCTAAACAACATATCAAGAGGCAAAATAAAAGCAACAGTGACAACATACCCCTGTTATGAGTATAATGTGGTCTGGACGGTGAGGAGCAGTCAAGAATGAGGCCAAATAAACAGGTTGACCATCATGTGGTCTCAACACCACTAGTGGGACTGCTTTGTGGTCTTCCCATATTTTTATCTGTAATGAGACATACATATGATTCAGTTAATAGCTATAACAATTTCTTATTGAGAGGACCAGCATATGCCAAGTAGTTACCATCAGTGCTTATAAAGATTAAAGACATAATAACAAAGAGAAATACGAACCGTGCCATCTGTGGATGCAGAAACCAATCGGGTGGCCATCCATTGGCACATGGACAAATCAGTCACTTCTCCATAATGTTTACCAACCAACTGGATCCCATCAATCAACTTGTCAATGGAACATTGGAGTGGTTGAGCCGTATCAGATGAAAAGACTTCATTCTTCCCAACTTTTGTAGTATCAATTCTCAGAACACACTTTCCAGTAGCCACCACCAAAACTTCCTGCATTAAGTGATTGCTAGCTTCAAATTCAAACAAAATTGACGTTGATCCAAAATAATAATAATAATAACAATAATAATAATAACAAGGAAATAGTGCTTATCTGCCTTACCTCCTAAAGATTAGGAGGAATATTATTCCAAAACTACGTCATTTTAATAAACACCTATTGAAAAAGACTAAAATATCATATTTTTAAAGCATGAATTAGGGTGTTTTTTGTCCTTTTTCCTCCTAATTTTTTGGAGGTAAGGCGGACAAGCACTAACCCCAATAAATAAATAAATAAATAAAAAAGAAGGAACAACAAAAAAGATTGGTTCTGAGAATTCCTGCGTCAATTCCCACCCCCAGCCCCACCACCACCCCCCAAACACACAGAGAGGAACTTCCCCCTACAACAATACTAGAAAGTTTCTTACTTGTTTGTGCTTGTGCCAACAAACTCGTGGGTGCACATATTCTTCATCTCCTAATATTTGAACAGCAATAGCAATCTTCCCTGAAATTCGTGATTCGTCTACTTCATCTGGGCCTTCAGTTATCTTCCATACATAAACACATCCTTCCAAGCTCACACTGGACAAAAGCGGGTCAAAACAACAAAAAGAAAGACAAGCAGAAGATATCAACTTTTTAAGAAAGAAAACTACCTAGCCAAAAGATGAACATCCTCAGCAAAGAAAGCCATGTCCGTGACCCTCTGAGAAATCAAAATGCAACTTGGATGAATGGGCAAAATTCCAAAAATTATCACAGACTATGCATGACAGATAATTCAAGTCTACAATCATCCAAAGCGAAATTAAAGTTTAAAGAAATATATTGATCCAAATAACCAACTCAATCAGGGCTGAACAAAATCATTTCCTCTATAATTAACATTACACAACTGCGCAGTCCAATGCCAGAAAACTTGGAACCCCATTTCAATACCTTAGTTAGCATAGCATAATCAAAGGTCAATGCTAATTATAAGAAAATACTTAGGATTAAAGAAAAACCTGATACCTTAGTTAGCATAGCATAATTAAAGGTCAATGCTAATTATAAGAAAATACTTAGGATTAAAGAAAAACCTGTGTGTGCCCACGGAGCAATGATCTCAGGGCGGTGTTCATGTTAAGAATACGAATGTTCCCTCCTTTAAGTCCATAACAAATGTAGGACTCATTGACCGCAATCTGCCTCCCCAACACCAGCTGGGGGTCAGAACCGTACTTGGTTATCGGCGTGACCTCGAGCTGAGGCTTGACCTCCCCGAGAATTCTCACGTCCACGTCATACGTGACATGGCTGCCAGCCAGGCGCCTTCCCCTGGGTAGCTTGCCACTCGGCACCCTGAAGGGACCCACATTTGCACCTCCATGATACATAAATTCCGGTGGAGGTAGCTGCTGGTGTGGTCGATGCGGGAATTCTGGGTTTTGCGGAGAAGAGTTGATGAGGGCGAGAATTTGATTGCCTGCATTGAAAGGATTCAGCGGCGGTGAAGGGTAAGACACGGATTTAGCAACTTGAGACGAAACAAGGAAATTGTGGAGGGCGGTGGGGGTGGTCGAAGGAGGCATGTAGAATTGTTGGTACTGAGGATGAAAAAACCGAGGAGAAGACGGGGGAAAGGAAGAGGAAGACGTAGAAAAAGAAGGGTCAGGTGGTGGGTGTGGGCTTGTCACCGGCAGAGATGGGTTTGGTGTTCCAGTGGGTTTGAATAATTTCTGGACGTCAAAGGAGATAGCTTGATTTGGGTTTCCTGAAGCAGCCATAGTTTCCGATGCAGGAATATGATCTGTATAGGAGTTGAAAACCCGAGTGTGTAGAAGGAGGATCTGAGTGAAAAAGGACAGGAGGAGGAGAAGGAATATATTTTCTTCTTCTTCTTTCTTTTTTGGGTTGCAGCAAGCAAGAGAGCGACCTCAGGTAGGGGGAAGATGGTGACTTGAAAGTGAAGAAGTGGGGTCTTGGGAGACCAAAATTTTAAGGTTGAAGTTGAAAGGAAGAGGTTGAGGGAGGAGAATATATATGATATTTGTGGGGAAAACTGTAAAGTTTCCACCTTTTGAAATATATACTTTCCTAAACTTAATGAGCAAGGAGTTTTTCCAGTCCGGCCTATAATTTTTTTTTTGGGTGCAGTGTCTAAACAAAAATTATAGAAATATCCTTAATAAATAAGGAGTAAAGGTAATAGATGCCCTGGAGCTGCTCTTAGTTAATTTTGCTGGATTTTTCTAGAGGTGTGTGTAGGCAAGATATTTGCTCTTTTATATATATATATATATATACTTGATTAAGAATTGGTTAACGGTATTAATAATTTAAATAGTTTAGTGGTAATTTTTTTATTAAAAGTAAAAATTTTTAAATTTAAATCACATAATATATGAGTGCGGTGAAATAAAAGGTGAGAGAGTTGTCGCTCATTGTGTAATCAACATAAAAAAAAATTAGTTAATGAGTTATTTAGATTAATTATTTAGATATAATTAATAGTTAATATTTAAAATTTAATAATTAATAATCATTATTATTTGAAAAAAAAATTAAGACATCTTGAAAATATAAAAATATTTAATTATAATCATTAAATATAAAAAATATAATATAAATCTTAATTTTAATAAATTTATCATATAATTATTATTAAATCTCCTAATATTTTTAATAGCTAAGACATTCTGAATTTTCCTAAATCCTCGATCCAAACACCCCTAAATCGGCCCTGTTACTAAGGTTCAGTGACTTTTAAATCTTCGAACTCTTCAAATTGTAGCAAGTGAACCTTCTTTGACGGATGACGCTAGCTAATTGTGGAATTTAACGAAGAGCTCATTTTGGGAAGTCCAGAGCTGAGTCTTGCATGACATTTGTCGTTTAAACCCTCAGACTCTTTGAATGCTAGTAAATAGATACAAAAAAAAAAAAAATACATTGTAAAATTACATGAATAAATAGCTGCATAAAAGTAAGGGGGAAGTAAAAAGTAATGGATAAATTGTCAAGTTATTAAGAAACATACTAAAAAACTCTGCCCCTTATTTTTTTAGTACAAAGTCATATACTATTTTTTTTTTTATCTTGATTACAAAATAGAAAGTAATCATTTTTCATCTAATATCTCACCCTATCTGCATATTTCACTCTACCTGCATACTATGAACTTGAATTCAAGATTTTTTACTTCGAGTAAAAAGAGATAACTACTGAGTTATTTAGATCGTTGACAACTAATATACTATTATTAAGTTGCTACCATGACAACTAAAAATAGTTACAAATTTCTCTAAGAATACAAAAAATAAAAAGTAAAAAAATTAACATTTTCAACTAGATTTAGTTATGCCATATTATTGGGTTCCAACAAATAATGTAACTTATTTAGTTATGACTACAGTTTACAATTAAAATAATAACATTATTTGGAAGGACTACATAAAAATAAAGGGATTTCAAAGAAAACTCATATTATTATATAAACATCATGTGTGGCACGAAAAATTTTGCTGTATCTCGGGGATACCGGTGATGTGGTATCCCCGGCCAATCATAGCATGCCACGTCATTATTTTTACTATTGAGTGAGCTGACATGGCTAATGAGGTGGAGAATTTTTTTGATGACGTGGCATGCTGTGATTGGCCGAGGATACCACGTCAGCGGTATCCCGGGATACAACAGACTTTCTCATATGTTAATTTCACCTCCATGATACTCTAGATGGTGCACAAATTTTCTATTAGGTATGTTATTTTTGATGATTGTAAACATTAAAAAATTATAGAAGTTTTATTATTCCATAATCCATAAGTACACACTACTATACCGCTTTCCTTTCTCTTTTCCTCTTTCTCTTTTGTCAGTGTCAAGTATCTCTTAAGATTTGAAAATATTCCAAAAATTTAATTCTTCATAGCAAGTTAAGTTGTGGGATGATAGTTGAATTTCTAAATGATTTATTGCTACTTTGACTTTTTAAACTATCTTTCTTATTCTTTAACACGGGATAGAATTTTTGTTTTGTTTTTTTTTTTGTATTAACCTCTAGATATCTAATAATCACATTGGATCTCGACTAATTTGAAATTTAGCCGCGTCGAACTCTATTAGGGAGAAGCTCTTCCAACACTTATTTCTCCATTCACAAGATTTGAACTCAAGATTTTATTTAAGAAAAACCGAACTCCTTCTACTCGGACCAACATGTCATTGGTACAGCATAGAATTTTTACTTCTCAATGTTCATAAAATCTATATGTGTTTTTTAAGTACCTTCTCATGTACTAAATTAGTTTATGTTAGGAATTATTCCACGTTCCAATTGATATATATTACTAAGGAGGATAAATACGGTGGAATTGGGTGCCATTTGTGTTCTTTGGAGTAAAGGTGCAAAAAAAGGATTCCAACTTTGCACTTTTTTCTATTTAATGATGTTAATTTTATCAATTTCTAAATAAGGATGTCAACTTTCAATTTTTTTCTAAATAAAGATGTTAACTTTGTCAGTTTCTAAATAAGGATATCAACTTTCAACATTTTCTATTTAAGGATGTCAACTTTCAACTTTTTCTATTTAAGGATGTCAACTTTCAACTTTCAACTTTTTCTATTTTAGGATTAATTGAATAGTGATATTGACGTGGATAACATATTTTTTAAGTTAAATACCTAAATTGGTCCCTAAACTTTTATTTTTGAACCAATTCATCCTTGAACTTCAGAAAGTACCAAAAACGTCTTTCAACTTCAATTTTATAAGGGACCAATTTAAATATTTAACCTAAAAAAATATGTTAGCCACGTCAGCATCACTATTCAATTAATCCTTAAATAGAAAAAGTTGAAAGTTGATATCCTTAAATAGAAAATGTTGAAAGTTGACATTCTTATTTAGAAACTGACAAAGTTAACATCCTTATTTAGAAAAAATTGAAAGTTGACATCCTTATTTAGAAAATTGAAAGTTGACATCCTTATTTAAAAACTGACAAAATTAACATCCTTAAATAGAAAAAAGTGCAAAGTTGGAATCCTTATTTTCACCTTTACTCATGCCCAATGGGGGAGATTTTTTTTGGCTAAAACCAACATTTAATCCCTCACCTTACAAAATTGGTAGGTTTTAGCCCCTAACCTTATAATATGATACTTTTAACCTTTTACCTTATAAAGTTGATAGGTTTTATCCTCTCACCTTATATTATGACACTTTTAACCCTTTATTTGTACGAATTGAAGAAAATAATCCTTATTTAACATCAGATTTTAATGTTCTATTAGTTCTATTAGCTGACTGTTAGTTTTATTAGTTGGGTGTTAGTTGACTGTTAGCATTCGTCAACATTCCGTTAATGAAACTAACAAATAAAATTGAATTTAAATTTCATATTTTTAATAACGGAATGCTAACAGATGTTAACAATCAACTAATAAAACTAACAGAACGTTGAGGATTATTTTCTTTAATTCGTATCGGTAATAGGCTAAAAATATCATAATATAAGGTAAATGGTTAAAACCTATCAATTTTGTAAGATAAGAAG